CGGAGGCAGGGGAAAGGCATGATTGCCCCTATAAACCCTCCAGCCAAAAACGCAACACGCCCTAAACCCTAAACCCTAAACCCTAAACCCTAAACCCTAAACCCCTAAACCCTAAACCCGAAACGTGTACAACACCGTAAAACCCAACAGACCCCAGGAGCCTTAATGATGAAAATCTGACTTTGGCGTGCGCAATCATGATAAAGTTTAGGGTCTAGGGTTTAGGGTTAGGGTTTAGGGTTTAGGGTTTAGGGTTTAGGGTTTAGGGTTTAGGGTTTAGGGTTTAGGGTTTAGGGTTTAGGGTTTCGGGCTTAGCAGTTGGAGTAAGGAGCCCTAGAGAATTATGAGGGACCGGGATCTTCCAGGGGACGATTTGCGGCCTAAACGATCACCAAAGCTCTTCCCCATGAGCTCCGATGTCCCGAAGCCCCAAAAAAGCCGAAAACCCTCTCTGCTGTGGCTCACCTTCTCCTTCTCCATCTCCACAGAGCCAAAACCACAGTTCCTTTGAGGCCAGCTTCTTTTCTGTTAACGGATCATGGGACTTAGCAACTAGGAGTATCAACAAGAAAACTATACTCATAAGTACTTAAAATCATAATTGAAATACTTATGACCCTACTAATTCTCATGATCCTCCAAGCAGTGATGGTGACTCAGAGAACTTCTGTGATTATGGTCGTTGGAAGCCTTCTTGTGGCCTCAACTTGTACAAGTCGGCTTCATGGACGAAAAATATGTAGGAGTTTGCGGAGATTGCAACACCCTAAACCCTAAACCCTAAACCCTAAACCCTAAACCCTAAACCGTGTGCAACATAACCAGGCTGGGACTGCAAAAGACACATGCTACTCCAAACCCTAAGCCCTTTTTTTGAGCAGGGACTGCAATGCACTAAGCCCTGAAAGACCCTAAGCCGTAAAATTGCAGTTCAGCAATTTGGGGCTCAGTCTTGAGTTCCGACGCTCACACTTGGGACCCTCCAGGCGAGGCAAAACTCCAACTGGTCTAGTTTAGGGTTTCGGGTTTAGGGTTGGGCCAACTAAGACCGGGAAGAAGGCCTCAATAGGCTTCAAGCTTACGACGCAGGGCCCAGGAAACACACCTTGAGTTCAAGGGCACAGGCCTAGAAAGATCTGGGATGTTCGACGGTTCTGGCGTTCGGCTTGGGGTTTAGGGCAGGGTGCCCTTAACGGCTCCCATAAAGGGTTTCTTTGAGCCCTTCTTGTAAGGCTTCCTTTGAGGCTCCTAGCAAGGTTCTTCTAAGTTGAAAAGAAGGGTTCCTGTTGAAGACCAGCGGAGGAGTCGGGATTTTGGAATTCGGGAGATTGTCAAGCACGACTTCAATCACACCCGCCCAAAGCATGCGAAGACCACGCGGAATCGCTGGAAAATGCGAGCCCTCCCTCAAGCTTCATGATGAGCTGTGACGGAAAAGAAAAGCAATGACAACAGACGGCGCTTCCAAGTTCATGATGAGCCTGAATGTAAGCTAAGTCACCTAAGCTTGGCAAAACCAGACTCTAGACTCTGCCTCGCGATTCGAACCCTCATGCCGTCGTACCTTTCTTGCACAGACTTGTACATGCCCAAACCCTAAACCCTGAGCCTTAAACCCAAACCCTACACCCTAAACCCTAAACCGCTGAGACCTGTGATTCGAAGCCTCATTTCTCTAAGGTGCTCGGCACGCTGAACCGCCTCCAGCGAAATCTCCCAAACAGAGCAAGCTTGGGCCTCGCTTTTCAAGGGGCGTCTTTGGTTTAGGGTTTAGGGCTTTGGGTGCAGGGTTTATGGGATAGAGTGTAGGGTTCGTTTGCCTCGAGCCAAATACACCTTCCTTCCTGCCTACCTACGTGCCGACCCCAACCACATATATGCAGACAGACAAATAGAGCTGTCGACATTCGTGCGTGCTTGCATTTATGAGAACATACAGATTTGGGTGTACTTGCATGCTGTGGCGCAAGTTACCATTGATATTTGCATGTGTTCGTATGCGAAGTTCTTGAAAGTGCGAAAAGGGAAACGAATCCAAAATCTGAGTCCCCGAAAGCGGACGATCAGAACCACAGCCAGGTCGGCGGCTTTCCTCAACCGAAAAAAGGTTTAGGATTAAGGTCTCTGGGTTTAAATTTCGAACTGAGGGTGAAGATTGCCAAAGCCCGAAACACGCTCACTCACCAAACTTGTTTGCTACTGAACTTGAGGACGAGCCAGACCCGTGCGATTTCTATCGTAGTTACCCTGAACCCCAAACCCGAACCCTAAACCC